AAACTCGAGTTGCCAAAATTCAATGGCATTATTCTACAGTGGAATGAATTCTGCGAATTTTTCAACATTCGGTGGATAAATCAAAAATCTCCAATGCAGAAAAGATGAGCTACTTGAAAGGTTGTCTTACAGGCAGCGCAAGGGATGTTTTAGAGGGCATGCCCCTAGATGATGCAAATTACGATGGCGCGTTTCAAATGTTGAAGGAGCGGTTTGGGAAGCAGGAACCTGTCGTCAATGCTCATTACAAATCGCTAATGGAAATTCCATCGGCAGAAAACAACACCACCACACTAAGAAAACTCCACACACGCAGATCGAAAGGCATTTGCGATCACTGGAGGCTGTTGGCGAAGATATGAACCAGAAAATCTTCTTGTCCATTGTCATGGGAAAGCTGCCAGAAAGGTAATTTTCAACTTGGAAATCATACGCGGAAACAGTGCCTGGATTGTCCACGCACTATGCAAAGTTCTGTTACGATATAAGTAAAGGAAACATGCACTGCACACGCCGACAGTAGGCTAGTCACAGACAGCCCACGCAGTATTGGCGGTTTGCCAAGCTACACACATTCATCGGAAGAAGCTCTACTATCACACACAGCACAGCGGTCACCACCCCGATGCTTTTACTGCAAAAATACCCACTTTACAGACGAATGTACGAAGTGTGTGATGCTAGAGTAGAGGAAGGCAAAGACAGAAAACCGGTGCTTCGTCTGTATTGGGTCGGGGCACACCGCAAGAAACTGCCACAATCCTCCACCATGCTATCACTGTCGCCGCGACACTCACCACAGATCATTGTGCCCGGAGAAATTTGGAGGCAAAAGCATGAACGTACTGAATGGAAATGCGAAACCATTTCAATCAAGATCTGCAAACGCACGGTCCGAAACAGCCACACCTGCTGATTACAAATTTGACAGCCTGAGCCAATGGAAATTCACACAGTGAGTGACACAGACCGATCGGCGTTGCTTATGCAGATGGCTTTAGCTGACCTCACAGATAACGACAGTAAGGGGTCTTGTCGAGTGCGAGTGTTTTTCGACACCGGCTCTACACGGTCCTTTATCAACGAGACGACGCAGAACACCTTGAATGCCGACATCAATGGTGAAGATGCCCTGTCGATCGCTCCGTTTGGTTCAAAGAAGAGGGAGACCAAGGTCTTGAAACGAGTCCAAATCCAAGTGAAGACCATCGATGGCGGTAGAGTCCCCATTACAGCAAACATCACCCAAACATCAGTTCTACGATGAGGCGCTTGCCAATCGGTATTAGGAAACACCCCAGCCTGCAGCGAATGGTCTTAGCAGAACCCATCGCCGATAGACCAGAAGTCGTGACAATAGACATGCTCATTGGTAGTGACTACTTGTACAATATCATTGGAAACGACCATGTCCGATTCTCGGATAGCCTAGTTCTTCTGGACACCAAGCTTGGATTCGTTCCGACAGGCCGGTTACCACGTCTGCAGATCTACCCCAAGTCGACACCATGATGCTGACTGCAGCGGACGTATACAATTATGACGACTTCGACTTGAAGAAGTTCTGGTCCCTTGGAGAAATCGGTATTACCAGCATCTCCAGCACTCTGCAGCCTGAAGACGCAGTGTTGAAGTCGTTCAATGAGATGATGAAGTTTGTCAATGGGCGGCATAGCGTTCAATGGCTGTGGAAAGATAGTGCGACTGACACATCTCTACCAGAGAATTACGAGCTGGCAACTGGCCGGCTCCGCTCGCTTGTGTTCCGTCTGTCCAAGACCCCAGAAATCCTCGACAAATACAACGACACCATACAACGACAACTCAACAGTGGCATCATCGAGACAGTCAACATGACCAAGAACGCTGACGCCTTGAAACACAATATTCCACACCACTGCGTAGTGAAGCCTGACAACATGACAACGAAGATTCGAGTTGTTTATGATGCGTCAGCCAAGACGAAACCCAACAACCACAGCCTGAATGATTGCCTCGAAGGCGTGCCAAGCTCGCTACCAGATCTTTGTGGAATTCTGGTCAGATTTCATCCAAAACCGTTCGGCATAACCAGTGATGTAGAGAAGGCATTTTGCAAGTCGGGCTGAAGATGCCTGATCGAGACGTCACCCGATTTCTTTGGCTCAGAAATGTCCATCAACCACTCTCCGAAGACAACATAGTAGTGTACCGATTCAGCCGCTTGCCATAAATTTGGTGTAGTGTCGAGTCCGTTCCTTCTCGCAGCCACGCTTGGTCATCACCTCCACATTCTTCAGCCTTTCAATCTTTCCTGATTTATTTCAATATTTGGCGTGACTCCTTTTATAAAAGATTAGGAACAATGCCACTTTTCTCCCTCCTTTCCCGTTTTCATCCCTTCTTTGTGTCCATAATGTGCCAGATAACTGCTATGCATACAAATTCTGGTGTGCTTGGCAAGTTGTGTGTGTCTTAATACCAGTGGTCGGAGAACACACACATGTATTAGTTGAAGTAAGAGGCAGCTGAAGCCTCTACAAATGCAGTTGAAGTTCAGGACGATGCCCTGATGCTGCCAATCTGCTTTCTGCACCTTGTTCCTACCCACTTATAAACGTGTGATGAGCCCAAAAGTGAGATTATTGTCAAATCCACGCAGAGTTTGGACATTTCAGAGGGTTCCAGGTGTTGGGCGGTTCACAAGCCAATTGAATCACCTTTCCAAGATTCCTTTTGAAATTCTCTGCCCTCCGTCGAGGAGACCCAAGTTTTCAGAAGTGAACAAGTGCGAGAAGTGTATACATGTGTGTGCATGCAGTGGCGTAGGAAGATGTTTTAGTTTGGGGGAGGGGGGGGGGGGGACTTCCAGCCACTGACCTGCTCATATACTGGTGTGGTCGTACCGGTAATCCTTCTACAGAAAGTTGTAATTGTTCAAGTATTTCACTCTTCATCACTGAACATGTGAAAACCTAGTAGTAGTACTCGAATCAGGGCAAGAACAATGAAAGTCCTGTGCATGTATGTTGAATACAAGAGATTGCATGCAGCGACCACTGGATAAGTAGCTCTGACTGACAGCCTAGTCAATGTCCAAGGAGAAATATATCTGAAGGCGAAATGCATCCGTAATGGTGAATTATAGGCAACCATAGAGCAAAACTTACTGGTAAGGACAGTGGGATAAGTCTACGTTCAAGAACCCCCGATTTTCAGCTATTGCAAACAAGAACCCCGGACTCATCACATGTCAGTGATAAGTAGCATGTTCCGTTCATAACGAATTTTCCACGATAGTTTAGATGACTAATGTGACCCTGGTGAAAATTGATCGTCTTGAGGTCATTGAATGATAGGTGCAAGCCTCGGGCTCAGTTTCTCCATGAACATGTTGAAATGTATGACCACAGATTAGTCGTACCTTGCTCTCCGACAAGTAACAGTAAGTCTTGAAGTAAGTCTCAAAAACTTCTTCTGGAGAGTGGTTTTCTCCAGAAAGCTGCGATATAGCAATGAAAAGAACTGGCTGTGACTGAAGCAAAGTACTGCCGCCTTTCCCATTTCGAAGAAAAAATTAGCAGCTACGATTCAAAGACGACCAAGCGAGGATCTAGCGATCATGCTTCACGCCGGTGGCGCTCGCTTCTACTTGAAGTAATCTAGATGTCATCCAGTGTAGACTTTCTGAGCCTAGCGCCTGTCAAGTACACTGTACAGTGCAGGGCAAAGAGAAATCCAACCTCATGAATAAAATAGCGTTGCTGGGCACTACACTACACTACACTGCCCTAACACTACACATACTGGTCTGTGCACTACACTGCCCTAACACTACACATACTGGTCTGTGCACTACACTGCCCTAACACTACACATACTGGTCTGTGCACTCGAACGCGGCGATACTCTATTCATGAGGTTGGATTTCTCTGCGGGTCAGCACTGTACATGACAACAGAACGCACAGCAGGGTCAGCTCTGACTACAATCGAGCTGAGTGCATGACTTGTACTGATTGATCTGAATGCTTCTCGCTTGCACGTGCAAACATGTTCACTGAGTTTCGGCACTACATCCACCAAAAGGTTCGGGTAACCTGGCGCCGCCCTTGCGCCCCCCCCCCTCCACTTCCTACGCCACTGGCATGTATGGGTATTTGTGCTTATGTGTGTGTGTGTGTGTGTGTGTGTGTGTGTGTGTGTGTGTGTGTGTGTGCCCCGCCTGAATCGCCCTACAGTGACTGATCGCCAGCACTTTGAAGCACTGCCTTCCTCTCCCCTAACCTCTCTGACAGCACCTCCCTTCGGGGAGCGGCGTGGCCATTTCTGGCAGCTGTCAATAGTAGTAGTAGTGTGGTTGTGTGTGTGGGGGGGGGGGGGGTGCGTGCGTGCGTGTCTGTCTCATATGGTGCAGTTCTAAGTGCAGTCGATTTCCGATCGAGATGTGGCGGGTTTGATCCACAAAGACAATGGTCATACACGTCTTTCTTCTTTTTCTCAGACTCCTCCTGACTTTTCTTTCATTCTGCTGCTTGGTAACAACCAGTGCATGCCGGAGTATGCGGTGTGATGTTTGTGTGGGATAGAAATGAGGAAAAAAGATCAAAAGGTAGGGGATTGACCAGCCCGAAGAAGCCACTTGAAATAGTTGTGTAGTGTAGACCAGGCTGAATAGCGGAGTTCAAATCTTCAGCCTTGCAAGCTATTGAATGGTGCAGTCCCAGTACAAGTTGCTATGGCTTCTGCTGTATGCATCGCTATCATGACCTCCAGCGTCAAAAGGCCAAAAGGTCAATAAGGCAAGTGTTTGTGTATCTGTGTGTGTATCTGTGTGTGTGTCTGTGTGTACGTGTGTGTCTGTGTGTGTGTGTCTGTCTGTGTGTGTCTGTGTGTGTGTGTGTCTGTGTGTGTGTGCACGCGTGAGAGAGCATGTGTGTGTCTTGGTATGTATGGGTATGGGTATGGGGTGTGTGTGGGTGTGGGTGTGTGATTGTGCCTATTTACATGATCTACATGTAGGTGTTTGAGAAAGGAGGAAGGGAGTTGAACAAGTTTGGTACTAGAGGAAGTGGACCAGAACAGTTCAACTGGCCATGGGGTATTATCTCGTCCAACGGGAGATTGCTGGTTGTGGATCAGTTCAATCACCGTATCCAGGTTAGGCTATTGTTCTAGGAGGATTTCCATGGCATAATGTGTGTATATGTGTGTGTGTGTATATGTGTGTGTATGTGTGTTTGTGTGTGTGTGTGTGTGTTTGTGTAGGTTTGTGTGTTTATGTGGGTGAGTTGATGTGCCTTTTGTGTGTGTATAGATTCTTGGTTGGAGAAAAGAAATTCAGTACACAAATCCCAGAAGCCATACAGTTTCGAGTCTTTCGACTAGGCCTTTCGTAACACTACTTTTCAAGTCGAATACAATGGTGATAAGCAAGGTAGCAAACATGTCCTTATAGCCAGCACTCAGCCGGTCAGAACATTAAAGGAGAAGTTAAGGCAAAAATTAAAATTTCACCAGTTGTAGTCTTCGGCGTGCTGAGTCGAATGGTCTTGGTCCGAGAAAGCTGAGACGCTCCCTTCCTACTTGAATCCCAATCGAACTCGCGCACTTCCACCGAAACTGGGTGACTGCGCCCTACTAGATGGGGATTTGTATGCAAAATGTCACTAAAAGCGCCATTTCGTTCTTATAAAAGCACGGATGACCGCGATTGGCCCATATGTTGTAGTCTTTTGGACGCTGAGTCGACTAGTTTTGGTCCAAAAAGGCTGCGATGCAGCGTTCCTCCTTTATTCCCAATCGAACATGGTTGAACAAGTGGTCACGTGCTCCTGGGTGCCCAAATCACCTGGTCACCACGCCAGCAGGCGACAACTTTCACACCAAGGTTCAACTCGAGTTCAACTTGAGTGACAGGACTGCACCCAAAAAAGGTCAAACAGGCTAGTAAGTTGTACCCTGCAGGCACGGTGACCAGGTGACCAGTGTACGCAGGAGCACGTGACCGCTTGTTCAACCATGTTCGATTGAGAATAAAGGAGGAACGCTGCATCGAAGCCTTTTCGGACCAAAACCAGTCGACTCAGCGTCGAAAAGACTACAACATATGGGCCAATCGCGGTCATCCGTGCTGTTATAAGAACGAAATGGCGCTTTTAGTGACATTTTGCATACAAATCCCCATCTAGTAGGGCGCAGTCACCCAGTTTCGGTGGAAGTGCGCGAGTTCGATTGGGATTCAAGTAGGAAGGGAGCGTCTCAGCTTTCTCGGACCAAGACCAATCGACTCAGCACGCCGAAGACTACAACTGGTGAAATTTTAATTTTTGCCTTAACTTCCCCTTTAACAAAATAGCACTTTTAAAAGATAGCGATTGTGACCCCAACTACATGTTTACCGGTCAGAGCATTGACCAAATAACACTTTAAGAGGTTGCGCTAGTAGCACCAAACCACCTAGTGAAAATAATTAATTTTACAAGTATCAAACAACAATAGGAACCAGAGTACTACATTGGGAAAACAGTGACAACTTTTGCACATACTTCTTTTGCACATCCAGTTCAAATATACACATGGCATTCATTGCAAACATGGCATTCATTGCAAACATGGCACTCCTTGTCACTTTACCACTCAAGCGTGTGTTCTCAACAAATCTCACCTTGCTGTTCTGGGGTCAGTGAGTGAGTGTACATTGCAAAGCTAAAGCCTGAACTGTGTGTGCGATAGAAGCATGTGCGAAAGTTCTCACTGTTTTGACATTTTAGTACTGTGGTCCCCATTGTTGTTTGATACTAGTAATATTCATTGTTTCACTATTTAGTTGATACCACTAGCGCTGTCTTCTAATGTGCTATTTGGTCAATACTCTGACCGCCAAATATGAGGTGTAGTGGCGGGTTTAGGTGGGGGGGGGGGGGCACGCCCTCCCTTCCCCCACTCCCCACGCCCCTTGCCCTTCCCCAAAAAGGTTCGACCTTGGTTTGAAATAAACACCAGACTGCTGCATGCACGGGCGGTAGACCCTACACGGTGAGAAGCAGCTTCCGAAAGCAGCTCCACTGACCGTTGGTGTGTAGCGGTGCACTGCAGATGAAACGATCCACTCTGCACGAGGTCTACACTTTTGTTCAGATTCCAGGACATGCTCGATGCGTCTTGAGAAAGGCGTGCAGTTGAGAAAGGCGTGCAGTGATGTGCAGAATGCAGCACTACCCAAGCGGGACTAAGAAACACAGCTTGGGATCGTCAACATTGTACAATGGTGTTTTGAGGATGATCCCCTCGGGATTCGAATCATGAATAGGTTGACTTGAAGACTTTTCTGCGAAGTTTCAGCCACATCCATGGACTAAAAGAAGCTATGCTCTGGCCTGCAGAGCCTGGATGGATTTTTGCAGAGCGTTATTGCGACGGCGTAATTCCTGTTCCAACAGGAAACCGTGGGAGTGATCAAGTCGTTGCAAGTCCAATAGATGACTTGCACAAGGATTGTCTTGGTTCGAGATGGGGCTAGTGGACCTTCTGACTCTTACTTCCCGACCTTTTGACTTTGAGTTTGAGACTTTCGCTTTTTGCCTGACGAACGCTGAGCTAGTTGTTTTGGCTAGAGTTGTTTTGATTTGGCTTGCATCGTCATGCGGAAGCGCTGCTGCGCTTCTCAATGCACCAGCAGACGAGATATGGAACTGAGGCTCCCATTTCATACGTTCCTTTCCGAACCGGGAACGCAGAAAAATTGATTCATGCCATATGGAGATGAACTAAAATGAGGTGATTGATGTAGTGTACAAGTAACATGACAGATGATTGCACAATAATTATGTAGTAACTAAGCATGAGATACTGTAGTATGTAGCCTAGTGTACGTCTGCAAGAAATACCTGTCATGTAATAATTTGTAATCGGTTGGATAGCTAGCAGTGTGACGTACATCGTTACAGTTATGTGCGCCATATCATCTCCCCCCCCCCCCCTCCCCCCTCAGCCAAGTCCTGGACACGCCACTGTAGTTGGCGCAACTAGTGCTATCTTTTAAAGTGCTATTTTGTCAATGCTCTGACCGCCAAAGTGCCAGTAATAAGGACATACCGTAATGTCGCGTATAAAGCAGTTGCTTACGGCCGTATAAGCCGGGTTCAAACTATGCTTCTATCCAAGTCATGATTCTCTTCAAAACATGCTTCTATGTCAACATCAATGTCACAGTACGTCAGTCCGGTCATCACTCGATAATATGCCACTCGGATTTGAAATTCATGACTGAGACATGCCAAGTGTCTGAGAATACACGATAACGAAATAAAACATGCAAAAACATGGCAGGGAGATATTTGAGATGCAAAAGTCTATTCTGATTTGCAATTGACACATCAAAATCAAGTCAAAATCAAGTTGACGGTATTAAAAAGCAATGAACATGGCAAGGTAAGGAATTCACAACAATTTTGCTCTTGCAAAGACTGAAATCTGCCAGCAACAAAGCAAAGCAAAGATTTGGAAAGCCAGGGTGGAAATTTACACTTACAGTACTACAACAAGATCATCATCGCTATCGGCAGTCTCCATGGTGACATCAGCTACTTCAAGATGAGCAGTTGCAGCAGATTCTTTAGTCAAGAGAGAGTCGGCAGTCACAGCTTGTAGTAGACGGATTTTCTACCGCATCATACCGTATGTACCGTATATCGATAGACTTACCATATCGTATATAGTACGTTATTTTGTGAACGTCGTGTGTACATCATGTTGGCGCATGCGCGTGTTGCTGTAGTATGAAAAGCAGTCTTCGTCTTGAATTTGTCTTGCTAGTTGTGTTTCGTCGTCGTGTCAATAAACAGTCTTCTAAATGTAGTTATCGTCGTCCCTTTGAATAAGTGTGGAGATGGCACGGGACTGGGAGCAGGTGGAGAAAGGCCAGTTACTACACAGCTGATACAGCGGTCGCAGCAGAGTCGACATCATCGTCGTCGTCGTGGTCTTCCCTGGAGGTGCCGCCAGCAGCACCGTCATCAGCAGCCACTTCACCAAGAACATCGGCCTCTTGGTCAAGCTCATCTTCGAACTCTTTCACAACATTGGCTGGCTGCGGCTGCGCAGGCGGCCATGAGAAAAGCTCTTCAAGACGTTTTCGGCCATCAGCAGTGGGACAACCTTCCTTGAAGCAGGACACCTGGTCAACAGTGGCGCCAGGAACCTGTCCGCAGCAGGTTAAGGAGTTCTTGACAAGGTCCGGTGAGAGGGAACGCCATGACTTCACTATGGTGTTGCACAGCTTCGACTTCGTAGTGGTACGGATGTTGCATGCAGCAGTGTAAGTTTTGTCCCCTGTTGCCAGCCATTCATCATACAATTCCCGGATGCTGCTCTTAAAGGGCTTATATTTATATTTATTACAACATCTCAAGACTCGGTGGAAACACCGGCCAATGTGAAGAGAGTTGGTGATTGCCAACCACGGCCATAAATAAAAGTAACGGGGAGGGGAAAAGAAGGAGTAGCAAAATGAACGGCAACAACAACTCCGTAAAGAAAGATAATGTCAAGTAAAAACAGTGAAAAACACAGAGACGCAAAGGACATGTGGATAATGAGCTATTTATGTCGTCGTAAATATGGGGCTTGTTCCAGCTGACATCTGGGGCTTGGACCAGCGGGGTGCATTCACCAGGGATCACAGCACTCAGGATGCGTTTTTAGTACCTCTCTGCAGTGACGGAGTCTGTAAGATGGCAGCGATAAGAATCCCACACTAGAAGCCTCTTTCCCAAGGCCATGGAACCCATCACTCTCTGACACCAACCAATTGTCAACTCTTTGTTAAACCATCCATTGTCAGAGAATGCTACTACGATGTCCCGCCGGGCCTTCAGCTCCCTGTCCTCTGCCATCTTGCCCTTGCCTTTGAAGAGGACAAAGGGCAGCTGCTTTGCACCAGACGCAGATGCCGTCAGTGCCACAGTGACATTTTGCTTGTCCATGCTGATTGTCCTGGCGCCAATTTCGTTGACTGTCCGGCTGCTAGTCGCATCAAACCAAACGGCAGTCTCATCCATGGCAAAGATGCTGGCAGGGCTTAGATCATTGTTGTCGGCAAACAGCTTCCTGACAAACACAAGGAAGTCCGTCAGCTTGGGGATCAGGTCAGCAGGAGT